ACAAGCAAGCAGAGAGTGAACGAGGAGAAATACAACAAGACGACGACGACGATGGATGAGTGATGATTGATCTTTTTCCTTCATTTGTCCTCTCTCTCTCTCTCTCTAACCAACACAGCACGTCTCCCCTCCTCGTCTCTATTGCACCTGTACTCGACGCAGCATTACTACTGTTGCTGTCCCTGCTGCTGTTCTGTATTGTTGGTGGTGGTGTGGGACGTGGACGGTGCTTACCTGATTCATTGCCGGCTGGTGTGTGCGCGCGTGTGTGACCGGTTTGCTTGCTGTCCAAGTCTATTTATTCGTCTGCGTCTCTCCTCTCTCCTCTCTACTATACACACCTATCGATGCTTGTGACGCCTCCTCCGCCTCCGCCTCCTGTGGTGGCCAGGGCAGAGTTGGGCCATGGGTGGATTGTTACGGCGGGCGTGTTCTCCACGGCAGCCACGCTCATATCATTCGCGACGACCCTGCTCCATCTACGACACTATCGCCGGCCAGTATGTCGATGCACGGCCGTATACAATGCCGCACAGTCTGCTAATCGATGATATGTTGATCACTAGAATGCCCAACGATTCGTGGTGCGCATCATAGGCATGTACGTAGGATGCACCATGACCCATGTCGATCTATCTATCTAATCGTCAAGTGGACAATCTGTATATCTATTGATTGCCAGGGTGCCTATCTACGCCATCTCCTCGTGGATCAGCCTGGTGTCGCTCAACGCGGCCTTCTACGTCGACGCCATACGGGACATCTACGAGGTGAGGCCGTGCGATAGCGCGTCATTGAGAAGGATGCTGACACATGATGGTGAAGGCATTCGTGGTATATTGCTTCTTCAACCTGCTCGTCACCTTCCTGGGCGGTGAGCGAGAGCTGCTCTTCAAGCTGCATACGCGCCCACCCGTCGAGTACATATGGCCGGTGCGGCTATGGATCAAGGAGATGGATGCAAGTAGCACCTGTGGCGTGGTACTCACTGATAGAATCCACTTGCTCATACACATCCATTACAATAGGCCGGCGATCCCTACACCTTCCTATCGATCAAGGTGAGCATGATGGGGCGTGTGTTGTATTGCTCGTGGCCGGCGACTGACCTCCATGCATGCATGCATGCATACACGGCCATTAGCGAGGCATCCTTCAATTTGTATATATCAAGCCGATACTCGCCGTGCTCACCATGGTCCTCAAGCTGTTCGACGCCTTCAAGGACGGCGATCTCTCGTTGGACAGCGGCTACTTTTGGATTACCGTCGTGTACAACGTCACCTTCTCCTGGTGTCTCTACTGCCTTAGCATGTTCTTCCTCGCGACCCGCCACGATCTCGAGCCATTTCGGTAGGAGGCGGGCAGCGGCCACATGCAGCCACTCGACTAGCATGCTCACCTCTTTCTCTCTTTCTCTCTTGTATACAGGGCTGTGCCCAAGTTCCTCTGCATCAAGGCCATCATCTTCTTCTCCTTCTGGCAGGGCGTCGGCATATCGCTGCTCGTCAAGATTGGCATTATCCATTCGAGTAAGTATCAGCCTTCCTTCCTCTCTCTCTGTGTGTGCACAACCATGTTGCTTCATCTGCTCACCTTCTACGAGCAGCGGAACTATTTACCGCCGACAACATTGCGGTGGCCATGCAGGATTTCCTCATCTGCCTCGAAATGGTGCCGGCTGCCATGGGCCACTGGTAAGTGCCTGATGATGACGACGCTCATTGCTTACACTGCCCGCTGTTGTAGGAGCGCCTTCTCCTATCGCGACTACACGGGCCCCGACCTGGCCGGACGCATGCCCATGTTCTATGCGCTGCGCGATGCATTCGGCTACAAGGACGTGTGGCAGGACACGGTGACCACGGTGTCGGGGAGCGAGTTCAACTACCGCACGTTCGAGCCGGCCGACGGCGTGGCTGCCTCGTGGCAGAAACGCATCAACACGGGCCTGCGCTACAGCCAGGGCGGCCGCAACAAGTACTGGATCGCCCACAAGTACGACAGTCCGCGCGCCGGTCAGTACACGGGCGAGAGCAGCCACCAGGCGATGCCCGTGGCCCTCACGCCGCAGGACTGGGCGGATCCCGAGGCAAGCGGCATGCTCGGATTCCAGGAGGCCACGTGGGATGTCGAGGCGGAGCGCGCCTACACCGAGGCACGCGAGATGATCTACGGCGACGTCAACTGCCCAGTGCTGCCGGTCACCCGTCGACCGAGGCACATAGGCCATGTAGAAGCAGGCGGCAGTGGTGGTGGTGGTGGTGGTGGTGGCAGATATGGCACCGGCAACCATGCTGCCCGCCGTGAGGCATCATCGGCATCGTCGGCATCCATGCGACCACCACGGCCCAAGCGGAAGCACAAGCGCAAGACACAGTCGTCGTCGGATCCCACCATGCCGCTGATTGTTGATGATTCCTATGTACGACACTAGCATAGATATCTGTTTATTCTATTGCATGACATGATTAGTAAATACAATGACTGTACCAGATGCTTTTGAGTGGGGAGTGCAAAGGGTGGGAACATTGCCACTAATGATGCTGGCCTGTTCCCCGCACTCACTCACAGACACACACAGACACAGATAGAGCAATGAAGGCGCGCGCACATTGTCCCGTTCTCGCCTGCGCTGCCTTTTGCTTTTACCTGCTCCCGCTCATCGTTGTTTATACGCCACGCTATTTGCGTGTACAGACCCGCTGACCACCACCCGATATCCAAACCAATATGACACTGGCCACTATCCTACGCGCCACCGGCAGCCGTGCCCGCTTGTCCATGTGAGTGAGCGACGCGTCTAGCCGTAGCAAGACCATGCGCGCCGTGTAGCTAATAACGAGCACCATCGATGGCTAGGCGGCTGACCCGTGCACTCGCGACACAGGCACCATCGACGACGAAGCTCCTCATCAATGGCGAGTGGATCGAGTCGCAGACCGACACCTGGTACGATGTCCACAATCCGGCCACGCAGGAGCTGGTGACGCGCGTGCCGCAGGCCACGCCGGAGGAGCTGCAGGAGGCGACGCGTGCTGCCAGCCTCGCCTTCAAGTCGTGGCGCAAGAGCTCAGTGCTTAAGCGGCAGCGCATCATGCTCGACCTGCAGAAGGCCATCCGCGACAACATGGTAGGCGGACAGGCAGGCAGTCAGGCAAACTGATGGGGCATGGCTGACGCTGTGATCCTTCTTCTGGCCTCGTCAGGATACGATTGCCAAGTCCATCACCACCGAGCAAGGCAAGACATTCGGTGATGCCAAAGGCGATGTGCTGCGTGGCTTGCGTAAGTAGGGCGTGCATGCTGATGTGGATGTCCATCATTGCTCACCTGGCATCGATGCGCCATGTCCTGCTGTAGAGGTGGTCGAGTCGGCCTGCGCCATTACCGATCAGCTGAAGGGCGAGCAGATGGAGGTGGCCACCGATATGGACACCTACACGGTGCGCGAGCCATTGGGCGTGACAGCCGGCATTACACCGTAAGTGGCCATCGCCATGGTGCAGCGAGGAAGAGTGCTCACCATGCTTGCGTGCTTGCGTGCTTGCTTTACTTAGCTTCAACTTCCCGGCCATGATCCCGCTGTGGATGTTCCCGCTGTCCATCGCCTGCGGCAACACGATGGTGCTCAAGCCGAGCGAGCGCGATCCCGGCGCCACCGCCATCCTCGCCGATCTGGCCATCCAGTGCGGCATCCCCAAGGGCGTGCTCAACATCGTCCATGGCGGCAAGCCCACTGTCGACTTCCTCTGCGACGACCCGAGCATCCGCGCGATCAGCTTCGTGGGCAGCGACCGCGTCGGCAAGTACATCCACGACCGCGGCACGCAGAACGGCAAGCGCGTGCAGGCCAATCTGGGCGCCAAGAACCACGGCGTCGTGCTGCCCGATGCCAACAAGGAGGCGACGCTCAACCAGCTCGTGGGCGCGGCATTCGGCGCAGCCGGCCAGCGCTGCATGGCACTGTCGACGGCGATCTTTGTCGGCGAGAGCAAGCAATGGCTGCCGGAGCTCGTCGAGAAGGCGCGGCAGCTCAAGGTGTCGGGCGGATTCGAGGCGGATGCCGATCTCGGCCCGTTGATTACGCCGCAGGCCAAGGAGCGCGTCGAGTCGATCATCGCATCGAGCACCGAGGAGGGTGCGGAGATCCTGCTCGATGGCCGCAACATTAGCATGCCCGCCCCGTACGACAAGGGCAACTTCATCGGGCCGACCATCATCGCCGGCGTCAATCCGCAGATGCGCTGCTACCGCGAGGAGATATTCGGGCCGGTGCTCGTGTGCATCACGGTCGACACGCTCGACGAGGCACTGGCGCTGATCAACCGCAACGAATACGGCAACGGCACGGCAATCTTCACGACGAGTGGTGCGGCCGCGCGCAAGTTCCAAACGGAAGTGGATGTCGGCCAAGTAGGCGTCAATGTGCCGATTGTAAGTAGCGCGGCTGTTTGTATGACAGCAATGCTCATGCAATGGATGTTCTCTCTGTGCATATAGCCGGTGCCGCTCCCGATGTTCTCGTTCACGGGATCGCGTGGCTCGATCCGTGGCGATATTAACTTTTATGGTCGCAGGTAAGCAGGACAGCTCACAACAATGATGACGATAATGACTAATGCATGGCAATGGTAGTGGCATACAATTCTACACGCAGCTCAAGACGGTGACGGCACTGTGGCGCCACGAGGATGTCCCGGAGAAGAGCTACGTGAACATGCCGGTCATGCAGTAATCGCATACACATCTACATTCATGAATAAACAATACATGTATGTGCATGTGTGCATATCTGTGTGTGTGTGTGTGTGCGCTGAATGCAAATGTCGCTCTTTACTTCGTAGTTGCTACCGCCTTCTCACGTCCGCTTCTTTGCTTCTTTTCTTCGGTAACTGGGCCTGTGATATGCCCGATCGTCGCACCGGCCTTCGCCTATGCACGACTGGCGCGCCTGACTACAAATATACAAAAGGAAAACGCGGCAAAACCGCTGCTATTACCCCAACCGGGGATCGAACCCGGACCTTTCGCTTAGAAGGCGAATGCCATATCCATTAGGCTATTGGGGCGGTGCATAGTTTCATAATTGGAGCATTCGGAAAGATGCTACTGGATGCATCGCGCGCAACACTGGTCGCTGCCGGCCGCGCAGCTTTCTCCACGCCTGCTAGACCGGTGGCTGCATTCTGCGCGCGATGCTCGTTCGATTCATGCAATAAAAGTGGCATATAGATTAGACGTGCAGAGGAGGAATGGCGGTGTCAATATCATGCAGTCATGCTCACCTCGTATGGCCGTCTGTCATTGCGCCCATTCGCGCCCTCGCCGGGCAGCCGTACAATAAAACAGACGGTTTATTATTATTATTATGTATGTGCAGTGAGCAAGAGAGGCGGGCAGAGTGGTGTATGTATGTGCGCGCATACAGCATATTATAGAGTGAGGTGTGGGGTGGTAGCGAGCAGTAAGCAGTACAACGATTAAATAAAAAGAAAAAAAGATGGATGGATGGATGTGGGGCGACAAATGGTACAGAAGCAATCACGGCTTGCGTCCAATAAATATGCCCACTTTCCAGTAGGAGCGATGGGCGATCAGCTCTTCGTGGAGGCCGGTGAGCACGCGGTCCATGTCCTCGTCGACCAGATTGCATATGCGCATGAGTCGGTGGCGCAGCGATACGAGCAGGTTGCGCAGGTTGCTCCAGCCCAGCATGCCGACCTTGGACGCCCACTCGCCAATGGGCAGCTCCAGGTAGTGCACACGCTCGAGCCGCAAGCCGGCCGCCTGCATCAGCGCGGGGATCTCCCAGACCATATCCATATTGACCTTGCGGTGCACGCCTGCCTCGCGAAACCATTCGTTGACCTTCTGGCCGAGCGGGCCGGCATTGCGCAGCATGGCAGACGTGTCGATGATCTCGACCACACCGCCCGCGGCACAGACACGCGCCAGATCCTCGATCAGCGTCGCCCAGTACGTGGCCGGTATGCCCGAGCTAATAAAGCGCATGTGCACATAGTCGAAGCGATTGTCGTTGTAGGCCATGCCTGATGCATGCATAGCAACCATTGGCGTCAATTTGTGGGAGGATGAATGCAATCAAAAGAGAGAGAGCCTACCATGAAGTACGTTCATGATCTCGAACTGGACATTGCGTGGCAACACAGCCTGCGGCTGTATGTTCGATATGTCGATGCCGGTAATCTCGCACTGTGGATATTCCGCCGCCATTTCCTATGCAGCGATCGTCAAGCACGAGCCATGGCGAATGCGCTGCTTCATGCACCGCCATCTCTGCCTACCAGCGCCCATGTGCCCGTGCCGGCACCCACATCGAGCATCCTTCGCGGATGGTCAATGCTGGCCGCGTAGTTGCCCGAAAGCATGAATCGCAGCATGTAGTGCAGCGTGTCCATCCTAGCATGCTCGATCAGCACTGCCGCCACATCGATCGTGCGCGTGCGCGTGCACTTACCGGTCTGCCTCGTCCACGTCGTTGGGCAGAAGGTAGGGCGCGTGCTGCTCGCCATGAAAGCGCCGTCCCGCATCGTACACGAACGGTGCCGCTTCCATGGTCGGCTGGCCGCCTTCGCTGCTGTGCCAGGAGGAGCCCTGATTGCTGCCGGTGCTGCGCCGCCCATGCTGGCGTGTCCTGCGGCTGAGGCTGACACCCATCGTTTGTTTGCTCGTCAACACACGCACACTCACTCGTACACACTATGAGACCGCGGCCGGTGGACGACGAAAGAGAGAATGAAACGCGGGAACAGGCCCACAATGACGATGGCCGATAAGCTAGACATGCGCGCACACGCTCATTATCATTTGCTATTTGTGTTGGAGCCATGGGTGTGTGCGTGTGTGGGGACTGGGAATCGAATGCTTGCTGGCAATATGTAGGCGAGCCAATGATGTCGAGTCTGGATGAGCTGCCCTTCAATCTGGCTCTATTTGTCTATCGCGCCCTATCGCTGGCGGGAAAATAGACGGGCGCACAGGCATCGGCCTCATCCTGCATAGCCTGCCAACTGACCCGTATGCCATTCTACTGTCACCATGAATAAACATGCGTGCATATGATG